GCATTTGGCCTGTACAATATGGCTGGTAATGTGAGTGAGTGGTGCCTGGATACTTACCGCCCGATCACCAGTGATCTGGAAAGCTTCCGTCCGTTCCGTGGTAATGTTTACGAAACCTACAAGCGTGTTGCTGAAGACAATTCACTGGAAGATAAGGACAGCCTTGGTCATCTGCCAACACGTCCGTTAACTGAACAGGAACTGGCTGCTAACAATCGCTATGAAACACGTACTAATGACGTACGTAACTTCGGAGACGGTGACTCTCTGTCTACCTTCACTTATGGTTATGGCAAGACTTCCCTGATTAATGATGAAACCAAGGTAATTAAAGGTGGTAGCTGGGCAGACCGTGCTTACTATATGAGCCCTGGTACACGCCGTTATATGCAGCAAAATGCAGCTAGCGCTACAGTAGGTTTCCGTCTGGTAATGGATCGCCTGGGTAGCCCTAATGGCAGAAACAATGATAAAGCCGGTAACTCTTTTGGTAAGAGCCGCCGCTAATAATAGATAAGTGCTACGAAACAGAAAAGCCCCTTCTTATAAAGAAGGGGCTTTTCTTTATAGGGCAATCTGCTGCAATATGCAGTGATGTTGTGCCATGCCTGCCTTATCTTTAGCATTCAAAAAGCATCGTTTACATTGGACATCACGGCACTCTATAAATTGTTTTTGCAACATCCCGTTGTACAGACCGATACCCGGAAACTGGCGGAAGGAGATCTTTTCTTTGCACTGACAGGGCCTTCATTTAACGGGAATGCATTTGCGGCCGCTGCCTTAAAACAGGGAGCCGCTTATGCAGTGATAGATGATAGCACGTATCAAACCGATGAACGCTGCATCCTGGTTAATGATGTGCTGGGCACCTTGCAAGCATTGGCATTACACCACCGGCAGCAGCTGAACATCCCTTTTATTGCCATCACCGGATCAAACGGAAAAACCACGACCAAGGAACTGATACTGTCGGTATTGCAGCAACAGTTCAATACCTATGCAACCGCCGGCAACCTGAACAATCATATCGGGGTGCCGCTTACGATACTCGGCATCAAACAGGATGCGGAAATGGCGATCATTGAAATGGGCGCCAACCACCTGCATGAGATTGAAAGCTATTGCCGGATTGCCCTGCCGGATTATGGCCTGATCACCAATTGCGGTAAAGCCCATATAGAGGGCTTTGGCAGCCTCGAAGGCATCCGCAAAGGCAAGGGTGAGCTCTATGATTTTTTACGCGCTTCCGGGGGCCGTATTTTCCGGAATACAGAC